CACCGCCCAGGCCGGCCGTCCTCCGGCGGTCAGTCTGTCCGCCCGTCGGTGACTCTCACAGGGCGCCCGGGGGACGAAGAAGACCGGTCTCTTGGCCGGCCGGCTGGGCTCCGTTCAAGCAACTTCCGACTGCCAGGGGCGGCGGCGTCAAATAATTCCCCAGCCGAAGGGACCACTGCGCCTGCGCACCGCGACTGACCCGAGACTTGTGAGGGAGCCGAATGGGCGGCGTCAAATAAATCTCGAGACCAGGAGCCGGAAGCTGCGCGTGCGCAGCCGTCCCAGAGGGCCGCGCAAAGCGCGGCTACCCACCCCCTCCGTTTCGCGCTCCAGTGAAGAGGGAGGAGTAAAGTGACGGGGCAGTTACCTCATCATCGCCGTGCCGGCACAGGAGGCAGTCTGGCGGAAAAGTCAGCGTCTTCTCTGTGGAAAGTCGTCTGCCATTCAGGTTCAAGGAATATCTCGCACGCCAGCATTGTAGCTCTTCCTGTGCTCGGCCCCTTGTTCTATGGGCGCAGCAGTATTATGAGCAATGCCCTCGCCGGGCCTGGTGTGCGTTAAAAGGATGAATCAGACTTCAGATTCGGAACCTGTCATCAGCGAGTTGAATCCGATCTAGGAGATAAGATATTAATGGCGAGACGTGCAAGTTTAAGCACCTGCAATGTACCGGACGTTTTGCGAACAGTAACACTTTCAATAATTTCGTTTCAAATTCCACGAAGAAAGTAACAGCAGTAGAGAGGTACTTTCCTTGTCAAGCTGAAAGGAAAGAGGGATGGTGAAGTCTTCATTGCAGGGACCCGGCCTTGTGACTGACCTTGAAATTCAGAGGTGGAGGGATCGGTTTGTCAAGTCGTGCAAAGGACACATGTTTGTATGGAAAGAGCAGAGAAAATGGTGACTCTCACCCTCAGAAGAGACCATAGAGCACAGTAGGAGTAAAGAAGAAACTGGTGCCCTCGTGGAAGAGATAAAACAAAAATTTCTTCAAGATCACAGGCCCGTCTACCCCCAGGAAAGTAGCTAAAGGAAAGAAGAAAGGAACCGTGGTTAAGAATGTGCCAGGACTTTGTGTAGATGAAACAATATAGTTCAATTAAACATGATTTTGACAAGTGCTTTGAAAAACTCAAGTCATTACTCCAAGCATCTCTCCTTCCCTTTTCTACACTACAGAGGCCAAAAAGCAAATCCCTCTTGACAGAGCGTAGCTGTGAAACAAAGTCCTAGTCCATAAAGCATAGAACAAATTTCCAAGAGAGACTCGGGATATAAAGGAAGTCCTGGGGAAAACTGTGTCCTTCAACTTCCCCCTACTTCATAATTGGAATCATATCATACACTACCAGGAGATATATCCGTCATTTTGAGACCTTGAGAAAGGCTGTACTAAGTAGTCTAAATGGAGGCAAGGAATCCTGCTTCTTTAAGATATACTAAGGTAGATGTACAACCCCTGTATTAGCTGCCTGCTTTAAGGAAGGAATAGTGGATCTTCTTTATACCACTTTCCACCACATTCCTAACACTGATTATTGAACATCTATATTATATCAGTTATGACTGATAGATTTGAAGATCAGCAGATGACAGGGATTGGAAAAGTGACAGACACGGAAGACTTGAAACTTTTTTGAAGTACATGAGATAGGGGCTGGAGAGATGGCTCAGAGGTTAAGAGCACTTGCTGCTCTTCCAGAGGTCCTGAGTTCAATTCCCAGCAACCACGTGGTGGCTCACAACTATCTGTAATGAGATCTGGTCTGGTGCCCTCTTCTGGCACACAGGAATACATGCAGGTAGAACACTTTCTAAGTAATAAATAAGTACATCTAAAACTAAAAAAGTACACGGGATGTAGCTTAATTGGTAGAGCGTTTGCTTGGTGTGCATGAGGTCCTGGGTTTGATTCCCAGCACTGCACGAACTATACATAGTGGCTTATTTGTCTTTGAACTTGTTACACAGAGTGTTTTAGGCCAGCTTGGGCTACATGAAATCATATCTCAAAGAATACTTGGGAAAGTGAAAATGCCTCTGCCCCTCCACCTTGAGACTTTAATTCGTGGACAGCATTGTTCCTTTAAAGGGAACTATGGGGAAGGGTGTTTCCATTACTTTAAATAGGGAAAAGAAGTTGTGTTTAATTCTGACTTGAGGCACCTAGAGTTTTTTTTTTTTTTAATCATCTTATTTCACCAAAAAGAAAAAAATATTGTAAAAGAGAATAGAAATAAAACAAATGTGAATTTTAAAACTTGTAACTTCCCAGCTATAAATCACCTGCTTGTTTTTTCTGGTCATTTTCATATATATATATTTATAACTGCACTGCCACAGTAGATACAAATTTAAACTGGGATTCTTTTCTATTCTATAACATGTAATTTAAAATTGGATTTTTTTTACTCTATAACATTTCATTTATATCATGTTTCAATATTTTTTGATTGACATCTAGCAATTGTACGTGATTTACATATTTATAAGGTCCAGTGTGACATTTCAATGTATACATGTATTCATGTAAACAATGGATAATGAACAGACAGAATGTCTTAATTTAGTATCTTGTTGCTGTAGTAAAACACTAACAAGCATCAGAGAAAAAAAAAGGGTTTCTTTTACTTCATAATTCCAAGTTACTGTTCATTATTCTTGGGGAAGTCAAGGCAGCAGGATCTTAAAGCAGCTAGTCATGTCAACAGTCAAGAGCAGAGAGAGAATGAAGGCATGCAAGTTTATGTTCAGCTCCTCCAGTTCATATTTGCCTGGTCCAGGACCAAGTGGTCTGACTCCTCCCACATCGATCTGTCACTGAGACTCTTCTCAGGTGACTCTAGATTGTAGCAAGTTGACAATCAAAACTGACCATCACACAGGGTAATTAGTATATCTATTATCAGACACGAAGTATTTTGTGTGTTGTTGGGAGTGCTCAGTTTCTCTTCACTAGGTATTTTGAAGTATTTCATTAACTGTTGTCAACTATAGTTATCCCATTATTCAAGGTAAGACATAAGTTACTCCTACCCAACTGCATCTCAGTACCGTTAGTTTCCCCTCTCTCCGTTTGCCCTCCCCATGCTCCCCTCTATTTTGAGATTAACTTCCTATCTATCACATGTATATAAGGATGTCTTTCTGTGCCTGTCTTATTTTTCTTCCCATTATGACATCCAATTCCACCCTCATTGCTATAAAGGCTGGAATGCCATTCTCTATGGCTCTTTACTATTCCTTTGAGTATTGTTCTGGCTGGTTTTGTGTGTCAACTTGTCACAAGCTAGAGTCATCAGAGAAGTACCCTTAGTTAAAGAAATGCCTCCATGAGATCCAGCTATAAGGCATTTTCTCAATTAGGGATCAAAGTGGGAAGGCCCAGCCCATGGGTGCTGCCATCCCTAGGCTGGAGGTCCTAGGTTCTATATGAAAGCAGGCTGAGCAAACCCACAGGAAGCAAGCCAGTTAGCAATCCTCCACCATGGCCTCTGTATCAGCTCCTGCCTCCAGGTTTCTTGCCCTGCTTGAGTTTCTGTTCTGACTTCCTCCATTGATGGACCATGACCTGCAAGTATAATCCAAATAAATCCTTTCCTCTCCAACTTGTTTTTTAGCCATGGTGTTTTGCTGCAGCAATAGAAACCCTAAGACAGGCATTCATTCCACATTTTCTTGACTCATTGGTACATCCATAGATATCGAAGCTGGTTCTGTTCCTTGGCTGATGTGAACAGTGCTGCCATACCATGCAAGTGCAAGTGTCCCTTTGACATTCTGATTTCAATTCCTTTAAATGTGTTCTCTCCCAGACATGGGGTTGTTAGATCAGATATTTGTCTGCTTTTTTTTTTAAGGGAAATTCCCATAATGTCTGCAGTATATGAGAGTTGCCTTTCTCTCTGTCTTACCAGCACTTACTTTATTCTTTTTAATTTTTAAAATGTTTTATTTCGTGTGGATGGATGTTTTGCATGCATGTATATCTGTGCACCACTTTTGTGGCTAGTGCCCATGGAGGCCAGAATAGGGTGGCTCACAACTGTCAAAGACAGTTACAGATAGTGGTAAGCCACCATGTGGATTCTGGGAATCAAAGGCTGGTGTTCTGGAAGAGCAGGCAGTGCTCTTAACTAATGAGCTCTCTCTCTCCAGCCCTACCTTTAGTCTCTTTTATATTAGCCATTCTAAATGGGGAAAATGTCATCTTCCTGGGTTCCTGTATAGTTCTTGATAATTCCCCAATTAATCTTTTTTAATAGACTTTTTTGTTGGTCATTTGACTAATGTTTTTTTGAAAAATGTCTACTCATGATATTTGTCCATTTTAAAATCAAATGAATTGCTTTTTTACTACTGAATTGAGTTTCTTACATAATCTACAGATTAGCCCTCTTTCTTAGATGGTTTGCAAATATTTCTCCCCTCCCACAAGCGGCCACATATCTCTGTTTCATTTGCTCTTCAGGAGAGTTGTAATTTGATGCAATTCAAGTTACAATTTTTTGCTTTGGTTATCTGTAGCACAAGTTCTAACTGGTCTTAATAATAGAAAACCCAGAGCCAGATATTGGGGTCAATGCTGGACAGAGTAAAACACTGTTTTCTTTATGCACAGTATGATTCTCATTTGTTCCACAGCACGCTCACTGCCTAGATGTACGGAGTAAATGGGGGATGTATTTGTGTGG